ATTGATAGCAGAGAGAAGGCATGTTGGATATGACCATAAATCAAAGTAGTAGCATGGGAAATATTTTGTGATAATGGAATGGTTTTGTACCTTGCTTGCTATAGTGGCTACATGACTCTGTGCATGTACTAAAATGATATAGAAGTATAGGTACATTTTATAGCAATGTCAATTTGCTGGTTTTCATGTTGTGTCATTGTTACCTAAGATATAACCATTAGGTCGGACTGGGTGAAGGGTGCATGAGTGCTGTCTCTACTCTTTTTACAACTTTCTGTGAATTTATAATTATTTTAAAATAGAAGTTTAAAAGAAGAGAGGAAAATATGCAAACCTTGCAAAGCATTGCTTAAAAAAAAAATACATTCCCTGAATTTTTTCAAGGTTTTATTGATGCCAGATTTTTCAAATTAATAGCATCGCACTTTCCAGTAGTTGACTGAGCCAATTATTTATATGCAGGAAGGTTACTATTTGTTTATTGTTTCTTTTCATTAATAACAAAGTAAATAATGCTGTAAATTTTATCCTTGCCGTGTCTTAAATAACTCATTTACGATTGCTAATGGGTATCAAAGTATCAAGGGCACCAACATCATGATTTAATCAAAAAACTAATTTAATACATTTGTTGCAACCTCATTATTGACCTCAAGAGCAGGCACTTTTGCTGGAGCTGCCAACAAGGAAACCAAATGTGACTGCTTTTCTACTTTCCTCTATTTAAAAAAAGAATTAATGAATGTAAATATGTCCCAATTTGATATCTTAACAGCTTCCATTAACACATAGTTCGGAAAGTATGCCTGAATAACTGGGCCATTGATTATTTCTGGAACATAAATTAAGCCCTCCAGTTTAACCTTATTTGGACCTGAAACTTACAATAAAGGAAGTTTCCAGCTTACTTTTCATTTTCTTACTTCAAATTATCTCCTTTTGTAAATCTTTTTTCTTGAAAACATTTATTGATTAAATGACTAGACTCTGCTATTCTTTAATTACTAATAGGAACACATCCAAATATGGCTCACAGTCTGCCATCTTAACAACAAAGTAAAAATGCCTATAGAAGTATTTTAAAGGAGTTCATTGATATTCTCAATGACATTCTATCTTTGTATGTGAGTGGGGAAAAGTGTTAGAGAGAAAATATCCTCTGGAAAGTATAAATACAGCTTCATAATCCCTTATCTGCCCTTGCACTTTTCAGAGTTTTCTGAGGATTTCAGAATTGCAGATAAAGGTCAGTGGGTGGCAAGACTTGACCTGAACAAACCGGGGCTTTTTGTCTAGTCTCCATATAATTTAACAGCACCAATATTCCCATCTTCACTGTAGGAAGATAAATGTTCTCAAGATGCTGCCTCTGGGGATATTTCACAATATATAGTGTATGTATTTTCTTTACAAAATCTGAAAATTTCTGACTATGAGACAGGTCTGGCCCCAGTGTTTGGGGTAAGAAATTATGGCCATTCCCAGAAACGTATGGTATAGATATTCAGGTGCCACTGAGAATAAGGACTATTTATCCAGCAGATAGTCCAGGAGCACAAGACTCATGACAAGAAATTTGGGAGGAGAGTCAAATGAGCACCAAACTGACCTTCATTTTATAAACAAGGAAACTGAGGCACAGAGAGGTTGAGCAGCATGCCCCAGGTTCCCCAGCTATAGTTGGTACTAGGTGATCTGCATTCAGAGATCATGCTTTGAAACCACAAATAATGGTTTGTGAAGACTTAAACCTCTAAGTTTTAAGTGAAGCCAAAAAGACAGCTGTCACAGCAGAGCCAGAGACTGGGTGTCTGAGATGAAAGCAGAAGGATTTCATGAAAGTTTATATCCTTATGAATAAAACTCCAAGCTCTGGGATACTGACTACCAGTCAGGCTGATGCTCCCCACATATGAAACTGGAGAATCCTTTCATGGAGAAAAATGAATAGCCCCAGGGAAAAGATCTATGGGGACTGTTTGTCCTCTTCTTTGGACTTCACCTGTCAAATTCTTGCTTGCACACTGAACTTCCAAGCAGCTAGTTCGAGCCTTTCTTTAAAAATAGGAGAGAATTCAAGGACCACCAGACGTTTGAGGAAAACATCAAACATGAATGAGATCAAAATGAACGATCAATAAAAAAGAACCTAGACAGGACAGAGGAAATACAAACAGTAGAGAAGGTATCAAAGAATATATCATTGGTGGTTTCAAAGATTAGGGGCTGCCTCAGTGGAAGCAACACAGACACTAAAAGAGGGAGGGGGGTGCAATAGAGGATGCGATAAAGCACCCCAAAATTAAAACTAAGGTAGCAGAAATGTAAAAGCTCAGTACAACTTTGGAAGATGAAGTCAATGAAATTCTCCAGAAAGAATATTTTAAAAAGAGTATTTTAAAAAAGAATTAGAGAATCAATCCAGAAAGTTCAGAAGCTTATTTCAGAATGGGATTCCAGAAAGAAGAACACAGAAAATAATGAAGAAACAATCAACATTGTATGGGAAAGTTTGTTAAAAATTAACATTGGATGGAAAACAACTGAGGGACATGAGCCTCCAGGCATAAAGAATTGTAAGGGCCTGGCAAAATATATATATTTTTAAGTCCAGACACATTATGGAATTTTAGAATACCAAGAGTAAAAAGAAAATGCTAAGAGCTTCCAGAAAGAAAGAAACGGAAAAAATGGTATCACACAAAGAAAAGTAACTAGAATGTCATGGGATTTCCTTACAGCAGCTCCGAATTCTAGAAGACAATGAACAATACCCTCATATTTCTAAGAAATAATGTTTTTCAGTTTAGAATTTCATACACAGATGAACTATCAATCGTGAGAGTGAAGCATTAGGTCATTTTCAGGCATTCGAAGACTTGAAAAATCTTTTTTTTAGTCCATTTTTAAGAAGCCATTCAGGAACGTGCTTCAGCAAACAATGCAGTCCACCAAGAATTAGCAGGAATTGGGTCCAGAAACTAAATGTGAGGACCAACAAACAGGGCTCAAGGGAAAGACTTCCAGGTTCAGAACAACCAGTAGACTTAGTTCCTGTAAGAAGGAAATTGTGGGAACAGAAGCTTTTTTACCATGTTTGAGGATGCAAAAGCTACGGATAATGTGGGAAAGATTCCTAGGAATTTTTGCATGGAGGGGATATCAATATGTATATGGAAAAGTAAAAATTCATGAAAATTGCTTAAAAATAATAAGTTGTGTAAGAAACGGAAGGTAACCATGGTACATTGCTTGTCTCAGCAGATAGCAAAGTTATGGTAATATAAACACTGAAGACTGATTTAACCAAGGATAAACCTTGTCTGGGAGATCTACATTCCCAAATACTATAAAAGGAGCCAATAAATAATGTATAAAAACAAAAAAATATAAAAGAATGTAATAATAACATTGAGAAATAAGAGAAAGGGCATTAGAAAAAAACTGAAAGCTTTGAAGTGGTTGCTTTTGGTGAATATGCAAATAAGAAAGTGAATTTTTTATTTTTTCATATTTACAAGATCATCACTATAGATAGTAAAAAATTTGATACATAGAAATACAGTTTTACCTCATGGCAATTATTCTGTTATAACTGGTAGTATCCTGTTAATACTTGCTTTTCCATTCAATATTAATTACTATCAATACTACTAGTTTTCAGTACAAATATTGAAAATACTAATTAATTGAATTAGTATTCAGTTAATACTAATTCAATTCAATACTAATTTATTCCCAGAGGAATATAAAGCATTCTACCCTAAAGACACACATGCATGAAAATGTTCATTGCAGCACTGTTCACAATAGCAAAGACATGGAATCAACCCAAATGCCCATCAATGACAGACTGGATAAAGAAGATGTAGTACATATGCACCATGGAATACTATGCAGCCATTACAAAGAGCAAGATCGTGTCTTTTGCAGGCACGTGGATGGAACTGGAGCTAATACTAATTAATTGAATGAATATGAATTACTATCAATAGTAATAGTATTACTAATAAGTTAACCATGTATCATGAACATTTCACTTCAATTCACGTAGATCTCATCACCCTTTTTCATCAATATATAAGATTCATTTTCTGATGAATTTTTTTGTCAGTCCTCCTTTTATGGACATCAGGATGTTTCCCCTATTTTTCTATTAGCCGCAACACTGTGATGAACACCCCTGTTATAATATTTATGCACATGTGCTACGTTTCCTTAGGGAGCATTGCTACAGATAATGCTGCTTGGTCAAAATGTATATTTCAATGAAGATTTCCCCATTGCTTTTCAAAAGAGAGGAAAAATGTAGTGACCTACAAATTGTTTCCCACAAACAATCATAATGTTGACTCTTTTATGTTGTTTAGCTTTACTATTAATGGTTTTGTTGCATGAGTTAAACTTTCTAGGGAACAAAAATGAACATTGAGAGAAATAAAAGTTTTATTTACATTCTTTCTGAATTTAAGGAGAACACTTAAACAGTTTGTCACAACTGTTCTGTGAGTAGTTTAAAATATGACGTTTGGTTTTCTTTTATTAAAAAACACATTCTTGTTCTAAGAAGAGTTTTAATCAGGAATGAGTGTTAAGTTTTATTTAATATTCTGACATCTACAAAGTTGTTTTCATTAAACACATACACACTATACCCAATAGATAAATTCTTTGCTGTTTACATATCCGGCAGAATGGATTTTTAAATTATTACTTTGGAGAGCATATCTAGATAATTGTGCTTTGTATCAAAACACGAATTTTAGGAACCAGAATCTGAATGATGAGTTGATCACCGGTGCTACAAGAGGATTTTTATAACGTTTTCTTATCTATTGAAATACAGAAAATTCAGGGAATTTGTTTGTTTTGTTTTGTTTTAACATTATCCTTAAGAATATTTGTAAAGAAACACTTGTCCTTTAATCATGGAGCTGTACTAGAAAGTCTAAAGAATACTTACAAGCCGTTTTAGTAAACGTACTTGTTTTTCTTTTTAGGGGCACTGCAATTGCAGGCATTGTTTTCGGAATCGTATTTATCATGGGGGTCGTTGCTGGGATTGCCATATGCATCTGCATGTGCATGAAGAACCACAGGGCAACCCGTGTCGGCATCCTCACGACGACTCGCATCAACACCATCTCCTCCTGTCCGGGTGAGCAAAACTCCAAAGGCTCAGATTTGTTAGTTATTCTCTGCTCCTCACAGAGAGAAGGAAACATTCTGTATGGTCACTGACATTATCTGCAGTTTCATCTAGTATTGATAAATATATGTACATTGAAGTTGTAGCTGAATCGAGATTACTTAGATCCAATTAATACAATCCATCTCATTTTTGAAGATATTAATAATTTCAATGTCTGTTTCATTGACTACAATTGCCAGTCAGCCAGAATTAAGATAAATAGAAAATTCACACCCACTGTGTCTACCTGCCAGTGAGTACTGACAAGTAATTATAAAATATAATTAATGTATGTCTCAAACTGACATCTGATCCAATAGATATATCTGTCTTGAGGAAAAGTACTGAAGAAAGTATTCATATATCTTCATTATGTCAAGAGAACAGCTTTAAACACCATATTAAAATCCTCAGCAGGCCAGGAACAGTGGCTCATGCCTGTAATCCCGGCACTTTGGTAGGCCAAGGTGGGTGGATCACTTGAGGGTAAGGGTTTGTGACTAGCCTGGCCAACCTGGAGAAAGCCAGTTTCTTCTAAAAATACAAAAGAACAAAAAAAGTTCAACAAAGAGCAAGGGTGATATATTAATCATTCGACAACTATTTATTGAGAATATGCTAGAAGTTCCACATATAAAAATATATTGAGTACGTGTGACTTCATAAACAAAATACTGCATTTTGCATTGGATAATTTCAATAATGCTTTCTAAGTCAATCTGTGCATGTACAATTTGACATATAAAGGGCGGGCAAGTTCTAGATTTAGCACACCCTTAGGATATTAATTTTTCATCTACACTCATATCTTTTCTTTCTCTGTCTCCATAGGAAAAGACAGGGGTACTTGGACATGCAGCTGTGCTCTGTATTAATTCCCTTTTCTGTCCTTCCTCTTTCAACCTTTTTTTATCCTCTATCATCTTCAACTTGAGGGAGCAAATTTCAGATCAATATGGGTATAATTCCTCCTCTTCCTCTTTTGTCAGTTCTTCCTCTTCTATAATATTTTCATACTGGAGTACCTGAAGGCTCAGTCTTGTATCTTCTTCCATACTGTATCTACACTTCCCTCTTTGCTTGTATTAAGAGTATTACAACCTCGGGGTAGTAAGTACCATTTATGTCTATAGTACCTCCCAAAGTTATGTATCTCCCATCCAAACCCATTCATTTTATCCCAGAGCCTATTGAACATCTTCACTTGAGTGTATCATAAATATCCCAAATTTGACATGTGTAAACTTGGATTTCTGATCGAATATTTGGATTTCCCCCAATATCCTCCTCCAATCACAGCCTTTACCATTTGACTTGTTGGCATCTCTAGACTTCTAGTTGCTCAGGCCAGAAACCATGCACTCTACCAGGAAAACTTCTTGGCTCTACCTTCAAAATATGTACAGTATTTTGAGTACTTCTGACAGTGAGAAGTAGATACTATTATTCCCACCGTGGGAGAACGCCATCAGCTCTCACTTCCTTTACTCTAGTAACATGCTGGCTGGTCTCCCAGAATCTACCCTTGGCCCCCTGAGCTCTATCCTCAAGCCAGTAGCCAGAGTGAACCTTTTAGAGTAGATGTCAGATCATATTACCCCTGTGCTCAAAATCTTCCAGTGGTTCCCCATTTCCCACGGAGGAAGCACTAAAGGATGTGGTTCTTCATTTTATTCAAAGGAAAAAGCAGCTTCTTTACTGAGGCCTTCAAGATGCTGCAAAATTGGCTGCTCTTTTTATTTCCCAGGCCTCATTTCTTTTTATTCTCTCCCTGGCCACTCTGCCTCCAGTTACATTTTTTTCTTTGCTGTTCCATGAATGCACAGGCCACATTCCCACCTTGGGGCTTTGCCTAGAATACTGACTCCCTCACTTCATTCAAGTCTTTGATCAAAGGTCACCTCCTCAATGAAGTCTACCCTGATCACCCTATTTAAGATTGTAATGTGTCCCTTCTGACAGCATCCCCATTCTCTTTGTGCTACTCTGATATGTGATATCTTCTAAGATACCATGTGGTTTGGCTAATCATTACGTTCATTGTTCATTGTTCACCTCTTCTTCCTAGAATATGAGCTCTATGAGGTAGAAATCTTGGTTTCTTTTGTTCAACACTCTATTCCAAGCACGTAAGACCAGGCCTGGCATATAACAGGCACTCAGCAGAATGAATGACAAACACGATTCATGAAAAGACCTAATTTAATCATATATCAATGCCCCAGGGAATTGACGTTAAGTTTCATCCTGGAACTTACTCACTACAAAAGCAATGTGCAATTTCAAATATTCCCAACTTGCAAGAATAGTGAATAGTGGTTAGTATAAAGACACTGGAATATAAGGGGGAAAAGTAAATGGAATGACTTTTATTATTATTTACACCTCTCAATTTTTTCCCTTGGTCAACCATAACCCAGGAGAAGAACAGAAGAAAGTCGAGCAAAACCATTAACTGTAGAGAAGACATGAAGAATTGTTTTGTGGTTAACATTCTAGATACACATTAGCTTAATCAAAAAAGTTTAATTGAAAGTAATGTTTAAATATTTTTATAAAATGTTCAATATTTTATTTTACCCTTCTGTAAGTTCAAACTTTGAATAAAGTTAGGTGATACTAAATGTCACTATAGTAATGTAAGGTCACATGTTTTCTGGAGTTTGAAATTTTATTTAGGGGATGGAAACATGTTTTTAAAACTTTATAGTAGCATCATTTATACTTTCAGATCACAGGGATGTGCTGCATTTTTATTAAATGCATTGTCCTCAGAACTGAAAAATGCAAGAAACATAATGAACCAGATGCTGAAAATATTTTTACTGCAAAAAGACTAGGTCTTCGAAAATATAGTGTGCATGATTACTTCTAATTTCCTTCTCAAAGTTGCTAATTAAGCTTTTACTTAAAGTTTTAGGAAGCAACACATAATAATAGTATTGAATACTTTTCAAAATCTTTCATTTATGGAAATACAAAATGTGTTTACCCACACTAATTAATTAACCCTATGATAATTGAGATAACAATCCAACTTACTGTATAGTCCTATAGCCCAGAAGTCAGATAAATGCAGAGGATATAATTTAGCAAAGCTGAGAGTGTACAGTAGGGAGGCCTAGAGTAAACATAATTACTCTGCACTAGGTGAAAGCAACGTCATTCACCTGTCATTCCTGACCCTATGTTGGACAGTGTTCTTCTAAAAGTTTTTCATTCTTGCCATATTGGGTAGAATGAACAGATGTCCTCTTTAATCACAATTATTTTTTAAATTGCCCACATGAAGATAAGAATTTTCAGGTGTTACATTCTGCTGCTTTTCAGAACTTCAGTGTAAACAAAGGAAAGTGATCTTATTACGCATTTTTAAAAAGTGGGTTTGGGATATACACATCTGAAAGAAAATAATAAAGTAAAACTATAACAAAAGGCTAGGTAAAGATATAAAAGTCAAATGCTAACAAAACAAAAGCAAGGGATTTCGGTGCCATCAAGAAAATTGAGATTTGAGGTATATTATTGAGTCCTCTGAAGAAAGAAGAAAGAAAGAAAGAAGGAAGGAAAGAAAGAAAGAAAGAAAGAAAGAAAGAAAGAAAGAAAGAAAGAAAGAAAGAAAGAAAGAAAGAAAGAAAGAAAGGGGAAAGGAAGGAAGGAAGGAAGAGAGAGAGAGAGAGAGAAGGGAGGGAAGGAAAGAAGGAAGGGAGGGAGGGCGGGCAAACAATTGGAGAGGGGAATGGGACTCTTCCTAACAGAAGAATGTCAAAGAATAAATATAGAAGGGAGTTACAGAATTGAAAAAAATTATCACTTTAAATCCATCATAAAGGAAGAGTTAGTCAAAAACCACCAACAGATGCTAAATCTAGAGGAGAATGTGCTAAAAAGGATATTTGCAGTCTTAAAGTGTCCACCAGTTTTCTTGTCAGTTATCAGTGGAAAAAATTGTAACTTTCTATTTACTAAAGTACAGATCAAGATCATGTACCTTTGAGTGTGTTACTCTGATGACAACACAATTTCATGTATGTAGGTTCTGCCTGAAAGATCACAGCCCAAATCTCGTCATGAGAAAATAGCTGACAAACTCAAGCTGAGGAACACTGAATGAAACAACTGGCCTGTAGTCTTTCAAGTGTCTTGGAGATACTTCATTAAGCAATAAACACCCCATTTGCATCCCTGAATTCACAAATGGCAGAAATCTTATTAGTATGTGTACTGACATGAGAAGATTTTTGATTACTCATCAAACCTTTTTAGAGATCACAAACTCATATTCATACTAAAGAAAACTTCTGTGTTTGGACTGAATATTAAAAACAATCTTCACCTGAGGTGTAACTTCCTCACACATCAAAAATTCATACTTGAAACATTCTCTACAATAATACTGCGACTATGAAAATGCCTTCACCTTGAAGACACTGGAAGAAAACAAAATGAATACCATTAATGTGGTCAAGTCTTCGCCCAGGCAAACGTGCAAATGTTTTTAGTACAAATCAGAGAATTCAAACATGAAATGAGAAAACCTTCTTTGATGTCATAGTAACTATAGTTACAGAATTAATGCTGCAGACACAATTTATGAGAATGTTATATGATGAAGAAGAGCTAGCAACTACAAAATTTTGAAGAATTTTTCTATAAAATGGGTAGAGAAAACTGAGACGTGAGGTCAAGAGGTTTATTTTTTTTTTTCTTATTAAGGAAGCCAGATGGTGGTGCCATGTATTTTGCTATTACACTGATGGTAAAAATAAAGGGGGAAACTTATGAATACAGAAGATAGAAGGGATTGTTGAAAATTGGTGTCTTTAAGTCTACGGAAGAAAGGAATTTGGTACACAAGCAGAGAGGCTAGCTTTTGATGGGATCAGAGACAATTCATTATGTACAACACGATCAGAGATGATTTATTATGTACTGCATATGTAGGGCACTAAGTACATACACACAGT